GCTGGGCTCCCTTTTCTGTCTGGCTTCTCTCTCCAGCTTCCCATACTGAAGCAGGGAAGCACCAAGCAAGGCTTCTCAGACGGTCCCTCCCCAGTGCCCGGGCACAGTGACTTCAACTTGCCGAGCACAGCCTAGCACCTCTGAGCTGGTGCAGGAATCCACCTGCCTGCATTCAAATCTTGATTCTACCACTTCATAGTCATGTGGTCTTGGGTGAGTTATTTGAACTCTCTGGGACTCAATTTTCCCTTCGGTAAAATGTGCTAATAGTACCTGGGAGTTACTGGAGGGTTAAAGGAGTTTGTGCATGGAAGATGCCCTGTGGACACCTTGACTTTAGGACTTTTGACCTCCGAACTGGAGGGCAGTAAATTTGTGTTGGGCCAAGCCACTACATTTGTGTTCACGTGTTGTTCAAGTCACAGTGGGGGAAAAGCAGATCAGGGAGGCCAGCCTGCGTTCTGGGTGGGTCAGTGGTGTGACACTGGAAAGGCAGGCATGGGGAGGGCTGGGCAGAGACCTGGAGGGGAGAGAGGACAAGGGCAGGCGAGGCCAATGGGTGGGAGTGGCCTGTAAACAGAGACCTGAAGGAGGATGGGGGTTGAGCAGGGCAAGTGGGAGAGCAGGAGGCAGGCAGGGACAGCTTCCCAGGCAGAAGGGCCTCGCAGAGGTCCTTGGTGGCTGCCAGGTCAAGCGCAAGAGGAGGGTCAAGGCTGTGGGGCTGGGGGCTACCTCTCTGGTGGCTCCAAGAGCTAGAGTTTGTACTTTAGCCTGAGGGCAAAGGAGAGTCTCAGATGCTGTCTGGAGAGCAGTGAGTCAATTACTTTGACGCTTTAGAAGAAGCCCCACGGCTGTTATCTTTCCAGAGATGGGTTGGACAAGCCTGGGCCATGGGTTGGGTTGGGGGCAGGGTCCTGAATGCCAGGATGCAGGGGACAGATAATGACCAGTCAGAGTCTCGGGGGAAGGTCGGAGGAGACTGGGCTGAGTGGAAAAATCGAGAGCGAGGAGAATCCAGGGGGCAGAGGGAACATGGGGCTGAGAGAGGAGGGATGCATGCTGGGCTTCTGGCCGGGGCAGCAAAGTCTGTAGTGATACCTGCTGTCATCAGGGACACCGGTGGGAAAGGGGCTTGTGTTGATGATATAAATTCCTCCCCAGTGGGGCATGCAAGGAGGTGCTGGAGCTGCCTCAGAGAAGAGATCTGGGGGGAGGCAGAGGGTGGGGACAGATGGCTAATGTGAGCTCTGTGAGGGCAAGGACCTTGGCTAACATCTGCTGTCCCCGGAGCCAGGACTTATCATAGGCATCCAAACGCCGCTGCTGAGTAGATGGTTAAATGAAAGCAAAGCAGCTTGAGATCACACAGGGCTGTGTGCTGTGCACAGAGGAGCAGGCGACATTAAAGAAATGGCTAGAGTGATTATGTTTAAAATCAGGGCTTTAAGAAGCTCACTGATTCTGGTGACAATGAGATCAATGACAGAGATTTCAGTGGGTCAGGAAGTGGGGACTGTGGTAAGGAGAGGACAGAAAACCCAGAGCTAGAGGGAAGTAGGGGACAGGATGGTATTTTTAAAAACTGGGAGCAAATGAAATACAACCCATTTTCACATCTGCCAAGTATAAATGAGCAGAAACGTAACTGTGGTGGGTAGATTCTAAGGGCCCCCCACTCACCCTTCTCTTTGAGAGTGGGTGGGACCTGTGACTTGTGTCTACCAGAGAGCTTGTTACAAAGAGATGGGCGGTGGCTTCTGTCATATCATTACTTTGTTATGAGGACTGCCTCCTGCTAGCAGGTGGCTCTGGAGAGCTGGCTTTGGAGAGGTTGATGGGGTCAGAGGTCCATGGGGCCCAAGAAGCCAGCCTCTGGGGCCACAGGCAACTGAACCTCATAGCCAGAAAGAAGCTGGGGCCCTCAGCCCCAAAGCTTCAAGGGAACGAATGCTGCCCTCAGCCTGAGTGAGCCTGGAAGCGATTCTTCACCATTTGAGCCTCCAGATGAGAGCGCAGCCCTGTTGCCACCTTGACTGCAGCCTGAGAGTCGCAAGGCAGAGGACCTCCCTGGGCTGTGCCCGGATCCGGACCACAGGCACCGCTTGATAGTGACTGTGTGTGGTTTTAACCATTAGGTTTGGGTTCTGCAGAAACGGGTCAGTAAGACAGTACCGCTTTCTAATTTTAGCTCCACCTTTTAAAGCAGAGGTGATAACATACAGTGGAGTGTTTGAGTGCATCCAGGTAATTTTTACTCAACCACATCCTCATGGCTCAGATCAGGACACAGAGATGCCCCACGCCCTGCTCAGTCAGTACTGCTGTTTCCTAGGGCAGTCAGCTGTGATGACATTTGTCACCATTCGTTTTGGAGGCCCGTCCTCAAAATTCGTATCAACAGAACGAAACTCCCAAAGTTTGCCTTTGTTTTTTTCAGTTAGATTCATCCATGTGTTGGATGTCGATTGGCGGTTCTTTCACATCGTTCCTTTTGAATCTGTCTACTGTAATTTAATTACCTGTTCTAGGACTGATGGACATTTGAGAAGCTCAAGTTTTATTATGAATAAAGGTGTCATCCAGAGCTCTTGCACCTGTCTTTTGGTGACATTCACTCATTTCTGTTGGGTATGTATCCAGGAATAGAATGTTGGGTTAGAACACGTGCATGGGGTTCGCTTTAGTAGATCTGGCCAAACTTTTTTTTTTTTTTTCCCAGTGTAGTCATTTCATTATCCTGTCACCAGCAATGCAGAAGAAGCTGAGTCTCCAAACCCACTGGCGTTAGAAGTCAGTCCTTTTAATTGTAGGCCTCCTGGAACATTGTGGAATCTCCTTGGAGTTTTAATTTATGTTTGTCTAATGACTAATGATGTTGAACACATTTAATGGATTTTTTTTTTTTTTTTTTTTGGTACCAGGGATTGAACCCAGGGGTGCTTCACCAGTGAGCCACATCCCCAACCCTTTTTATTTTTTTCATTGTGAGACAGGGTCTCACTAAGTTGCTTAAGGCCTCACTAAGTTGTGATCCTCCTGCCTCAGCCTCCCAATCCAAGCCACTGGGATTACAGGTGTCTGTCACCATGCCTGGCTTTAATTAATGCCCATTTGGACATCCTTCTTGGTGCAGTGGCTGCTCAAGTCCTTTGCCCATTTTAAATTAGGAGTCTATCTTTTCTTTACTTATTCCTAGGACTTATTTACATATCCCTTCATGTGAGATCTCTGTCAGATATTAGATATTTCAAAACATTTTCCCTTGTCTGTGGTTTGCATCTTCACACTCCTGATTTTTTGCTAAACTGGAGTTCTTAATTTTAATAAATTCCAATTTATCAGTCTTTTTGTTTATGAAAATTGTTTTTTTTTGTGTGTGTCCAGCTTAAGAAATCTTTGCTTATCCCAAAGTAATAAAGATATTTTTCTTATCTTTTTAGAATCTTGTTTTAATTTTAAAGTTTGGATCCAGGACTCATTTAGAATAAATTTCTATGTATGGCACAGGGTGGAATTAAAGTTTTTTTTTTCTTTTCTATACCAATATCCAATTTCCTCTGGAACCATCGATTGAAAAGAACATGCTTTCTCCATTGGACTGCATTTGGGCCTCTGTCATAGCTCAAATGACTCAGTGAAGGTCTCTTTCTGGGCTTTGTTGTTCCATTGGTCTGTTTGTTTATTTTTGCATTAAAATTATGTTTTCTGAATTATTGTTTTACACTATGTCTTGAAGTCTGGTCATTTCAGTCCTCCAACTTTGCCTGTCTTTTGAGTTTTTCTTGGGTCTACTAGGTCCTTTGAATTTCCACATGAATGTTAGAATTAGCTTGTCAATTTCCTCTCGAACAGATCACTGGAATTTTGAATATGATTCTATTGACTCTACGGATACATTTTGGAGAAGGATGACATTTTAACAAATCAAGCCATCCATAAACATAGTATATCCCTCTTCATTTACATAGACTTTCTTTAAATTCTTTTAATAGTTCTGTAGCTCCCAGCATTCTTCATCTTCATGGACATTACACCTCTACCTCCCTTTGCCTCTCAGTGCTGGAAAGACTAAACTTGCAAATTCAGGATAACTCAGTCACTTCTATGACTTCCAATTTACAAGTTCTGTTCTTTGTGGCCTCTGCTGAAGTCTCTCAGTGGTGGACACTGTCCCTTTTATTTGCTGTAAAGTCTTCAAAAATCCACATTGCACATCTGGCCCTCCCTGGAATGCACGTGGGGGCACAGTCCAGGCACAGCTGCAGCCATCTTTACACTGTGGCTCCATGCTGTCTGGACAGGGGACATCTCTAGGGGACCTCCAGTCTCCTCAAGTTCCAGACTGGGATTCGAGGGAGTAACCCAGCTCTTTAGTTCCTCCTAACTAATCTGTGGTATGTGGCCCCCTCACAACCTTTGAGGGACTTAGTTAGCAGTGGACAGTGGGCTGGGCTGTGACCTCAACTTGGGGCTAACCTCCCTCTTCTTTCAGTTTCTCCTCTTTACCTCCCAAATTTCTTCCCTTCTTCTCAGGACCTCTGATAAACCTAAGTCAACCCTTAGAAGTTCCTGAGGTTAAAAAGTAAGTCATTGCAATGAGACAAGCTTGAAATTTAAGCCACACAGTTTATTTTCCTCTGTGGTATGGATGAGACAAACCACGCATCAGGACCTGTGGATACTGGGATGAAGGTGTCTCCACGTCCCTGGGAGACCCAGTCCAGGTCCCATGGACACCTTCAGGGACAGCCTTGTTCCTCAGGCAGTGGGGGTGGGGGAGGAGCATGGAAAGGTACAGAAGGGTCCCCAGCCACCCTGGGAAGGGAGGACAGCTTCATTGTGTACCACAACATTCTGGAACATTCTGGGTTCTGAACTTTATGACCTTCCAAAGTCCTGTGGGCTAGGCTAGGTCTCAATCTGAGTCTCCACCGAGGTTGGGATTTCCCCCAGGGAGCAGAGAGAAACCCTGAGCAGCACCAGGGGACATCCCTGGAAGGGTGGGTAGGGCTCAGGGACCGAAGGACATGAACCCTGGATATCAGCTTAGCATTTCTTAGGAAAGAAACCACTGGGGAACACTTAGTGCCACCACATGTGTGGCTTGGAGGGGACACCTGGGGAAGGGCTGCTCTACATGAACAAGGCGGGGGTGGGGAGAGTCCGAAGAGAGGGTAAAGGCTGGACTCCAACCTGTGTGAGTCACAGCTTGCTACTCGGAGGACTCCTTGGGCATATATGCCACATTGTCATAGGCAGGGGGCGGGGAGGCTGCTGGGCTGGGGATGTTGAAGTCTGTGCTGAAGGCATTTGGCAAGAAAATCACAGACTGCGAAGAAAAGGAACCGAGTCAAAGTCCTGGAGCCCTCTGAAGCCTTCGGGGTGTGTTACAGTAGTGCCCTCTTGTGGGCACTCTGAGAGCAGCACCCTCCAGACGCATCCTGCAAGCCGGAACTGCAAACTCGGAATTTGTCATTCACTCAGCCAATATTTAGGAAAATATTTGCTGGGTCCAACTACGACCCAGACACTGGGAACACAGCAGTGAGCAAAGCAGACAAAAATCCCATTTCTCTAGGAGCTAACCCCCCCACGTGTGTTCCCTCCGGACTGTCCCTGTCCTGATTGAGGACTTCCATTCACAGGAACTGCTGGCCCATAGCTCTGGCCTCCAGCCTCCTGCATTTGGCAAATCCTCTGCACTGTTTTCCTGAACCCAGCTCACTCCCCTGCTCAAGACCTTCAGGAGCCCTCCCACCCCACCCCCGGCAGCCATCCCCACCCCTTGCGCTTCATTTTCCTGCCCAGGCAGCTTTTGCTCTAAGTGATTCCTCGACTTTGGATGCTCTCCATGGCCCCCCTTTTGATTTCCCTGTTCTCCATCTTCTCGGAAAATAAGCTCAACTTCCACCCCAGACATGCTGCCTCTTCCGATGTCCGTGTCTGCCTTATAGTGAATTCCTGGAGAGACCCCCAATCCCAGCCCAAGCGTTGGCTCAGCCCGCAGGCTCAGCGCAGCGGCGCCCCCGCGTGGCCACGGGGTGAACAGTCTCATCTTCAAGGATGTGCGAGGACTTGTTTGGGTCTCCATGTCGCTGCATGGCAGTCCCTCCACGTGCTTCCCAAAGGGAAGCAGGAGGAGGCTGGAGGCAGGGAGCCTTCCCTGCCCACAGCTCTCCCTAGAGGGCCATATATGACTTGGCGTGGGGTGGGAGTACTCACCGCGTTGGCTTGGGCGCGTGTGGCTTGACACCCAAAGTGGGTGGCAATGACTGCGATGAAGAATTCCAGGATGGTGAAGATGGTGAGCACTGCCAGATAGCCCCTGCCCACATCCTGGGGACCAAAGCCCACAGTCAAGGCAAGCCACAGTCAAGGCAAGCCTGTGACAAGCACCTCCCACCCCAATGGGAATACCCGGTGCAAGGTTGCCACGGGGTGTCCCAGCTGTGCCTGGAACCATTCTTCCTGGGCCATCCTGCACCCCCTTCACCCTCCCAGGCTGCTTCCCTGTTCCCCTTGGTGCCCGTTTGTGGGGTCGGTCATGGGGTCACATACTTATGGGATCTATCAGGTCTGACAGGCCCTCAGTACTCTGGGACTGCAAACTGTCACTTCCCGTCCCCTCCTGGGTGTGGCTCTACTATTCTCCAAGTTTGGGGCACTGGCGACACACCCAGTTAGTGACACCAAAATCCATGAGCAGAATGGCGGTTCCAGCAAAGGCCGCCACGGCGCTGAGAATGTTGGTCCCCAGGCTGCTCCGCACCTGCAGGACGGAGAGCGACATGAGGGAAAAGACCAGGGCAAAGAGACAGAGAGAAAGGACAGGGGCGGCAGCTTGCCACGCCAGCCTCCTCCACCCTGCCGCAGGGCCCGGCTCCCTGTGCCTGGCTGCTTTCCTGCATTGTTCTCCTCTCCTCTTCGTCCCTGGGGCCTCAGCGGATGCCCTCTGCTTCCCTTTCCTTCTGGAAGCTGCTAGGGAGAAGGGCCTGGTCACCTTCATGGCCTCCCTGGGCAGGGTTGGCAGCAGGCCTCTGCCTCCCTCCTGCTGTGGAAAGAGCTCAGGTGGAGGCCGTTGTGAGAACTGTCTGCCCACCAGGCCCAGCAGGGCTGCCTTTCTCTGAGTGACGGTGAGCACTGCATCCCTGGACGCCCCCTTTCTACCCTGGATTGTATTTGGAAGTGTGTCCTGTCTCCTCCTGTCCATGTGCACTTTATGTCTGGTTGTCCTGTCTCTGGCACTAAGCAGATGCCCAGGAAACGCTTGTCGAATGAGCCACATGACGCAGTGGGCAGGTTGGGGGAGCTGAGTGGAATCCGCCTTGGCCCCCTCTGCCCCTGGTCCCCACCGCCATTCACACTTACCAGGCAGCTGGTGTGGTTCTTCTCGGCTGCCACAGAGAGGGACCCAGAGATGATGAACTGTGGGAAAGAGGGGCCCAGTGAGGCTTCGGCAGGGACACTGTCCAGGGCACATCTTGCCAGGGCTCTGTGAAGAGGTCACGGGTACCAGGGACAGGGCAGCAGCTGCTTCCTGGCCACCAAGCTGTCTGCCTTCTGGCCAGGCACCTCGGGGTCTCTCTCAAGGGTCTAAAGGAGTCTGTGAGGGTCTGTCCAGGGAATTGGGGCCAGCGCCTCCAAGGTAAGTGTTCCCACTGACATCATATCACGGCTTCATGAGGAAGACTTTGTTGTTTTTTAACATTCGTGTATCCAGCATGTACTAAGTGGCGGCCATGTGCCAAGAACATGACAGCTGGAGAAGATGGACAGGGTCCCTGCTCTGCTCTCATGGGGCTTCTGTCCTGTTGGGCAGCACAGACACTTCACAAACACTGGAGAAAGGTAGGGGGAGTAGTGACCAGGAGCCGCTGGGGGTACTTGAGGTTGGAGGATGGACAGGAGAGGCCTCTGAGCTGCAGAGAGAGGCGCAGAGTTTGTGGGGTGCAGAGGCCGGCTCCAGGGATAGCTTCCAAGGGACCTGCCTCATGGTGCCCATGGGCTGGGCAGTCGTCTCCCAGTGGGTCTAGGCTGGCTCTGTGACCGGCTGGACTGCGGGCAGGTGGCAGTGGCACTCAGTGGTTCTGGGTCCCGCACTCAGCAGGCCTGGCAGCTTGTGGTTCGCTGCTGCCATGCTGGAGAGGTGCAGGGAGGGGTCACATGGAAAGGCCAGAGGGAGGCGGTGAGGTCCCAGAGGCCCTGGGGACACAGGGGGTCAGGACTAGGAGGGAGCCACCACAGCCGTCCAGGCAGTGAGCACCAGGGTGTGCGATAGAGGAGGAGAGGTGGGCAAGCGCAGGCCTTGCTCTGGAGGGCAAGTCCATGGCCCTGCTGGTGCGCTGATGTGGGAGTGGGAGGAGGAGTCCAGGATGACTCTTGGCATGTTTTTGGCTTTGGCAACTGGTGGATGGCGGTGTCTTTTGCCAAGATGAGGGAGGAGTAGGGTTGGAAACGGGGCAGGAACTGAGCTTAGTTTCGAGATGTGGAGTTGCCTCTTCAGCATCAACTGGCTGTGTCAAGATGGCACTGGATTTAGAGTCCAGCTCCCAGGGCTGGAGGCCAACAAGAGAGGCAGTGACTGGCCCAGGACTGCACAGAGGAGTCCCAGCTGGAGCCACATCTCAGCTGTCCTGTCTCCTTCCTTCTGTGCCCATGGGGACTCCTGTGAACCTCTGAGGAAAGCTATCCATGTGTACTTTCTGGGGTCCCCAGAGGCCAGCAATGTGCAGACCCCATGGAATGATTAGGTGTTGAGGCTGGGGAAGTCCTGCCTGGGTCTCCCGACCCTGATGTCTCCTGAACTTGAAGAGCAGGTTCTTATTTTAATTTTTCCCTTCCACCAAGTTTGACGTCTCTCTGAGGCATGTTGTGTGATACAGCCTGGCAGGAGGGAGCTCAGGAAAGAAGGGGGCTCCTTTCTTTCTCCCTGTTGTGATTTTTTTCTTGTAAAGTGTCCAGCTTGCCCACATTTCCTCCAACTTTGGGTCACTCTGGGCCATTAAGAGTTAGCGCCGGTCCTCAGGCATGGCCAAGTGACCATCCTTCTCTAGCCATGGCGTGTCAGCAATTTTGGCCTCTCTGGACCCTATATTTTGGGCGTTTGGCCTCTTGCTGGAGGCTGCCTGGACAGGGGAAGAAAGATGCTATGTCTGTGTTTGCTTCCCCAGGAGGCCCTCCTGCAAACCTGACTCTCTCTCCATAAGGGGAGTCCTCACAAATGACAGTCACCATTAGCTGCAGAACTTGAGGGCTAGTCACTGGCTCTGTTCTGTATTGTCTCTCGATTTCCTCAGCAAACTACGGAATGGTCAGGGCTGCGGCTAGGAACCCAGTTCTTAGTTGAGGAAGTTGAGGCTTGAGTTTCAGTGACTTGCCTAAGGGACTTCATGATAATAAGTGGTGGGGCTGGGATTCAGACCCCACTGGCCTGACCCCAAAGCTTTTGCCAAGGCGCGAACGGTGTTCACTTTGCAAACACTGAAAGGCGCCTTTCCCACTGGAGATGAGAAGGAGGCCCTCACCTGGTTCTCCAGCAAGGGTGGGCAGCTGGCCAGTGAGGTGTGGTCAGAGGAGTGGGCTCAGGGCTTTCTGGGCTTTCTGAGCTGGTCAGACTCCCTGGGGCAGAGTTCAGAGGGAGCCGAGGGGTTTGGATGTGGGGTGAGCCTTAGGCTCAGGTGGTAGGCATGTGGCTGTGCCATCCTTTTTTGGCAGCCTGCTCTGGCTCTTTGCTGGAACCTTCCCTACCTAGGAACTGATGGTCAGGCTCAGGTTTGGGGTCAGGAGTTGGACTTAGGCTCTGGTTCTTGTAGGAAGTGCTTTAGGTCCCAGCTAGGAGGAGATGAGCCCAGGGCAATGTGGGGGTGAGGCAGGGGGACCGGTGAGACCGGGTGGGGGCCCTCAGATGGCCCCGCACTCACGCAGGCTCCTCCCCAGAAGGGGACGCCGCCTTCGATGAAGAGCATCCCCAGGTGGCCGCGGCGGACCATGAGCAGCACGCTGCCGAAGCCCAGGTGGATGAGGCCGATGAGGATCTGCGCCGTCTGCGGGAAGCAGCCAGGGCTCAGCCCGCGGGCCGCCGGCTCCACGCCGCCCCCTGCCGGCCCGGGAGGAGAGCGCGGCCGGCCAAGGAACTCAGATCCCATTCTTTGGAGGCGACATCATTATAACATCCGTAAGAGACAGTTTTAAGAGAAAGCCAGCTCCCCGCAGCCACGGGACCCACAGGGCAACGATCCCCGCGGCTGCATCTGCTTTGTGGTCTGAGTCCTGCTTCTCCAGCATGGCTCTGTGGCTCTCTGGTTTTCCTGGTCCCAACACTCTGCACTGACCGCCTCACTTGCCCTTCCTGTCCCCTGCTGTCTGCAATAAACATGGCCTCGAGCATCCTTTTCATTTCGCAGTCTCTCCCTCATCCATCCCAGTTTGGGTGGGCATGTCCACAGAAGGCAAATGCCTCATCTCACCCCATCCCCACAAACTGGCACCTAGCTGCAGCCAGTCAGGCGACATCGCCACCTGGCTCCTGGGTTCCCCTGTGGCCACTCCCCCTGCTGGGTGGACCTCCCTGAATCCCTTCTGGTTCTGACAGCTGCCCGATTCGTGAATCATTCTTTGCTCAAACAAACAGTTGAGTGTAGTTTGTTTAGAGATTTTCTTTTAAGCAACACGCAAGGGCGTGTCCGTCTATCCAACCATCCAATATTTTATTCCCTCCAAGAGAATAATATCTCAATGCCACCCAGACTGGAATAGAGCAGTGAAGGTCATCATTGCTGTCAACGACAGGAGCTGGCTCTTGGCTACACTGTCTTGGTCCCCTGGTCCCCTGTCCGTCCTTCCTCTGCTCATTACATCCCAGCCCTATCAACCTTCTGTCTCGTTCTTGAACAAGCCACCTCCCTCCCACCCAGAGGCCTTTACACTTGCTGTCCCCTCACCCCGAGGATCCTTCCCCTCACCCACCCTGGGTCAGATCTTCCCTCGACTGCCTTCAACCTGACATTTAGGTTTTAGCTTCAAGGTTAGCTCCCCAGGAGAACTTCCCGGCCCTTGCTGGTGTTGCCCCTCCCCCACCCTCATCAGCCTCATTAGTTCTCTGAGTCATTTGTTCCCCCCCCCCCCCCGTGAACTCCACGGGGTGGGGGGGAAGGGTCCTCGGCTCTTTGGTGCAGGACCCAGACCTCCTCAAGTATCTGACCACTGCCTGCTGCCCCTTCCCGGGTGTCCTGGATGCCCCGCGGCTGGGCGCCCACTACCTGCCCAGCACCTAAGCCTCAGATCTTCAGGAGTTGCAGCTCTTACCCCTAAAGCTTTGGGCTCTCCGGTCAGAAAAGTCTCCACTGGACGCAGGTCGGGCTGCTGGGTGGCCCTGGGCTCCTGCGCCCCCAGCGGTGGTTCCTCGAACTGCACGACCCCTGGAGGCTGGCACATGGACGGGGGCAGAAGGGCGGGAGGCGGGCGGAGGCCGCTGGCATTGCTGGGCGGGATGACCACGAATACCCCGTTGCTGGCGGGAGGCGCGGACATGGTGCTCAGGGGGCCTGGGAAACAAAGGCTCGGGATAATAATGTACCGATGGAGGCTAGACGCTAGCATAAGGCTTCGTGTCTTTGCTTACTGAAGGCAGGATGTGGTCCAAACCTCTGGTCATACTGAGGAAGCCGAAAATTAAGGAGTGGAGGTAGGTCCCAGGACAAGGGCTCACAGGCAGATAAACCGGAGACTTAACTCAGGTCTCTTTGATGTCAGAGGTCCTGACCTTAAACTCTTGTGCTGTGTTATGTGAAAGGCACCCCCCCACCCCTTTATTTTTGCTACACTGGAGATCAAACTGAGAGCCTTCTGTAGGCCAGGCAAGAGCTCCCCACAGAGCTACAATCCCAGCCCAAGGGGGGCATTCTGAAGGAGCAGGTACTTAAACATACTCATTTCCCCAGAGAGGGTAAGTGACTTTACCAAGTACACACAGCTAGTGCAAGGTAGAGCTTAGCCAGAGAGCCAGCTTCTTTACCCTTAGTTCAGGACTTACTCTTCCCTTCCTGCCTCTCAGTCTGCAGCTGTTGAACTTGTGCAAATAATTCCCCTGGGTGGGTTCCTGTGCCCTTCTCTTTGACAAATGTTATTATGTTGCCAAGATGACATGGGTTATGGAAACATTGGGTATGGATGGTCTGGGAAAACATTTGAGAGAAACCATCCATTAGCCAGGTGTCCGAGATGAGTTAACCAGGAAAAAGCAGGGTGATCCGTCTGGTGGATTTTACGACATTAAACACAGTCAACCTTCTTGTTGGCCTTCTGAGCAGAGTGCAGCATTTCAGGACACAGCTCCGGACACCGGCAGATTTTGGTCACCTCCCCTTGCCTCAGTTCCCTGACCAGTAAAGTGGGGATAATAACACTGGTACCAGCCTCATAACACCCCATCAAAGCCATTCCTTACCCTGCTTAGGCACAACACTCATTGCCTGAAATATTTTCTTTCTTTTTTTTGGTATTAGGATTAAACCTAGGGACACTCAACCGCTGAGCCTCATCCCCAGCCCTAGCCCTTTTTATTTTTTATTTAGAGACAGGGTCTTGCTAAGTTGCTTAGGGCCTTGCTAAGTTGCTGAGGCTGGCTTTGAACTCGTGATCCTCCTACCTCTGCCCCTCCAGAACTACTGGGATTACGGGCATGCGCCATTGTGCTCAGCTCCTGAAATATTTTCTTAAACATAACACATATATGTACATGTGCATCTGTGTGTGCATATATTACACTGTATACACATGTGTGTGCCAGTCACTTAAAATGAACAGCTAGTGTGTGTTTCTAGTGCCCTGAGAGCTATTGCGCATGTCCACTGGGAGGCAGCAGCTCACAGACTGTGCAGCAAGTTCTCTGAAGTGGGTCTGCAGTGGGTTCTCTGCAGGCCTCGGCGGGTGGGTCTGCCCGCGATGCTGGGGTCCTTGGGTTTGCCTCCTGTGTGTCCTCTGGGCAGCCTGTGCCGTTTGCTCTGGGACAGGTCTGAGCTCTGTTGGAGGACATGCTAGGCAAGTGTCAGTGTGGGACCTGCAAGAGTGAACCAGACGGGAGAGCAGCAAGGGCTGTTGGGCGAGGCCTGCAGGGACTGGGGACTCTGGAGACACCGAGGACACACTGGGTGACAATCTGCAGCCGCGGACATTATCTGTTCACTGTAAGTGACTGGTTTATATGTATTAAATTTGAGGCCAGTGGTGTTGTAACAAACCACATGGAGAACGAGGTGTAAGTCACTGCACATTTGAAGGGCTTGCTAACAAGGCTTCCTCCAGCCAGGGTGCTGTGACAACACGTGACAGCAGGAACAGGTCTCCATAGGGATTATGCACTGACCTCCCACACAGCGCTCACTCTGTTGGGGGCTCTCATCTGCATGAACCCACGCTAAAACGATTATTAGCAGGCATGAACATTGACTAGAACAGGATTGGCGAACTTTTTCTCAATCAGTGAATATTTGGGGCCTTATGGAACCACGTGGCTTCTGTTGCAATTAGGAAACTCCTCTGCTATAGCGCAGAGCAGACATAGGTGGCACACACACAAATGGATGAGGCTGTTTCTGTGAAGCATTATTGACAAGAGCAGGCGGTGGGCCATGTGTGATCAGTGGACTGCAGCGTGCCATCTCTGTTCTTAGAACACGGCCTGGCACACAGTAAGTGCTCAGTGAAATTCACCTACTGCTTTAAATAACTGCTGTGTACAGTGATTATTTGCTGGGCAAGATGTGAATATGCAGTGAGCTGTCCTACCTTTCTGTATAATAAGGGGAATGACAGCTGCTGCTATAGTTTGGATCCCAAATGCTCTTTTGTTAAATGCCTGGTCTCCAGCTTGGTGCTCTTGGGAGGTGGTGGAGGCTTTAAGGTGGGACTTGGCCAGGCGCAAGCTTACAATCCCAGCAGCTCAGGAGGCTGAGGCGGGTAGATCGCAAGTTCAAAGCCAGCCTCAGCAACTTAGTGAGGCCCTAAGCAACTTAGTGAGACCCTGTCTCAAAATAAAGAATAAAATGGGCTGGGGATGTGGCTCGGTGGTTGAGTGGCCCCAGTTCAATCCTGGTACCAAAAAAAAAAAAAAAAGGAAAAGAAAGAAAAAAAGAGAGAGAGGCGGGACTTGGGGGAGGTCCTTAGGTCATTGGGGGTGTATCCATGAAGGTGACTGTGGGATCCTGGACCCTCCTCTTCCTCTTTCCTTCCTGACTCTAAGGGGCCTGGTCTTCCTCGGCCTCATGCTCCTGCCATGATGTGCTGACTCATCACAGGCCCAAAAGCAACAGGGCCAACTGATGGATCATGGACTGGAACCTTCAAAACTGTGAGCCAGAATAAACCTTTTGTCTTTATAAGTTGATTGTCTCAGGCATTTGTTACAGTATTGGAGAGCTGGCTCATACAGCTGCCCTCTTGCCTCAGAGGTTGTTAGGATCACTGCAAAAATGGACAAGAATGTCCTTGAAGATAGGAAAAGAGCAGTGAAGGGCTGTGTTCCGGGTGACTTGGCTAGTAAATGGCAGGGTGTGGAGTCAAGCCTACGCGTGTCCCAGCCAAAGCCTGTGTTTGTCCCCAGGGGCTGCCTCGAGGGGAAGTCACGCTGTTCTTTGACCATTGGTCTGGCCCACATGTTCTGGTTGCCTTCAGGTCTGGTGTGGCCACATGACTTGTTTTGGTTAAATGAGTGTCTGAGCGGAGGGTCTAGTGGTCAGTGCAGGACCCCACAGAGCTCCTCTTCCCTGTGTCACAGTGACTAGCAAAGTTCCATGCAGAGGGCATTCTGTTTACCTGGGCCCCTGAGTAAGCAGGACATGGAACCCGAGGAAGAGATCAATCTTTGTTGTTTTAAGCCATTAAGATGTTTGTTACAGCAGCATAACCTGGCTTCTCCTGACTGCTACCTCCTCCAGAAATGAATATCTGTAACTAACACACACACACACACACACACACACACACCACAATCCATGCCCTCGAGGAGCCTAGAGTCTGGAAGGAGGAGCAAGAGAGATTTGCAATTCAGTTCCACAAACAATTATTGAGCATTTACTGTGTGCACTGGGCTCAGGTCCTGGGAGTCCCTGTGAAGTAGAAGAGACCACTGCCAGGAGAGAGAGGCTGGGGAGATGGGGGAGGGGTCCCTGATGGACCTCAGGGATGTCTTCAGGGGGACAGGGCCTAAACCGGAGACCCTGAGACTGCTCTTCTCACCCCCTCCTGCAGGCTCCTTCCCTTCCTTCCGTCTGTCTGTCCTACCCACTGGCCTTTTCCCTCCCTGCCAGACATATTTGGGAAGATGAGGCAGTTTCTGGGGACATCAGTAAATAAAGACTGTCTGCCCTAAGAGTCCATGAAAATGGGATGAGAGAGACCAAGGGCAGGAAGATGGAGAATCTAGTTGAGGATGACCCACCCCATTGACAGGCTTTTGACTTTCTCAGGTGTGAATAAAGGACATTTACAGCCCTCATCTCACTCTGAGAGAGAGTCTGGCATAGATTATTAGCTGTGCTTTAGAGAGGAAACAGATTCAGAGAGGGTGAGTGTCACCCTCCTGGTCACACAGCACCTCAGTGGCAGAACTGGGATGGATCTTAGAACACCACCTCTCAGTAGGAATGACAGTGACATTATGGGATTCATATGCTTCTGGGTTAGAAGCAGGCTTTCTTGGAGTGAGGGGACTGATGCTTGAACTTGACTCCTTGAGGAAGGTTCCAGATCATCAAGTTAAAAACCAGTGGGGGTGAATGCATCTGCCAGCTTCGCCTTCTCCGAGGAGATTCATTAAGGCAAAACCATGTTCTCACTTTCATCTGGAAGGACATCTTAACAGCAGCAGGGCAGGAAGGACACCATTTAAAGGCACAGACCTAACTCGGGAAGGCTCACCACTGGGTAGATGTCATTTCATGGGGACAGTTGAAATCTGCATCTGAGACCCACGGTGGGTTGTGGGTGCCCTTGTGGACCTTCTCTGGGGCCAGGAGGGCTCTGGGATCTCCTCAGGGCTGAGCCACCCAGAAGGAGGCGCATGTGTAATTAGCAGCACCTCTCTCCAGTGGGTGGTGAGAAGTCTGATAAAACAGACCTCGTGATCCTGGGGGCGGGGAGACGAGAAGACACCTGCAAAAATAGGCTCTCTGCCCCAGGCAGGTTACGTGGCAATCACAAGCAGGAAAGTGTCACAGAGTTCCTGAGACTCAGGAGCCGCTCTCTCCCCCCCCTCTGCAGCCCTGGGTGAGGGATGGGCCCATCTGCTACTTTCGAGACCCACCTGGTCTCTGTGCCATTCTAACCAACCGCGTGCCCCAACACTGCTGCGTGCGTGGCAGGCACAGGCAGGTGGAAAAGAGGGAAGGTCACAGCCCTCACCTCCAGGAGTTACGTGGCAGCCTCCTTCCTGTACAGAGACAAAGAAAACACCCTGGCCTAGATAGACATGAGGGGTCAGCTGTAGTGACAGCTGTGACGGTCCCTTGTGTGCACAGCCCTTCACAGTTTACAAGCTCTCACAGAGACCCGTCGACAGCCCTGAGAGGCGGGTAGAATGTGCCCACTCTGCAGTCTGGCAAGCTGAGGGTCAGAGGAGCAGTGTGGTGGGGGGCCAGGCTGTGGGCCTTGGAGGCTGAATGTGTCAGAGACGTTCACGCTGAGGTTTCGGCTGAGACCCGACACTGGGGTGAGCAGTGCCACCAACGGCCCAGGGGGAATTGCAGAGAGGAGGTGGCTGGGAACCTGCTAGGTGACTTTTACACCTTCCCCACAGGGTGGGAGTGGGGTCGAGAGCAGATTTGGGGAGAGAACATTTAGAATGGGGGGAGGAGGGGGACACACCCTCTTTCTCCTCAAGGGTGTAAGGAGGCTGTGGGGCAGAATTCCTGTGTAGGCCCTGCGTGTCGGGACTCCAGAGGTGAGCGAGGAGGTTTTGGGTGGGTACCCAGGGGAGAGACCCTCAGTGATGGGCATCTCCGCAGAGCCCGTGAAACACCCCTGCAGAGAAGGCCCAGCCTCAGGGGGATTTGCCAGCTCAGAACAGCCCCCGGCAAGCACATGCCCCCGTCTTCTCCTTCCCCATCATCCAGCCTCTCAGTGCCACCCCGAGCCAGCTGGGCCGCAGGGGAAGCCAGTGGGAAAGGGAGGGGACCACGCAACGCCCTTCTCACCTGCCACACAGCACAGGACTGGACGCTCTGAGGCTCTGAGCCAGAGAAGCCTCAGGACTGCCCCGGTCCCTTCTCTAGTCACTATGGCTGTCAAAAGAGGGGGATGCCCATCTGGTGCCTGAATCTGGCACCGCAGGAGGCCTCGGATACCCGCCGGCTTCTGCTGGGTTGGCTACCTTGGGAGCAGATTCTGTTACTGTGCCCGTTTGTTTTGCAGACGAGGAAGCCGAGGTCAGAGGCAGGCAGTGGGAGGCGGCCATGTCCTGGCCTCGCTGCTGCTGAGCAGCCAGGGATCCCTTGGGAGCCCTCGTGGCTTCCTCTTTATGCCCAGGCTGGGGCTGCTGCCTAGGGAGGTGCGAGGGGACAGAGGCTCCAAGTGGGCATCTTGCACGAAATGCACAGGAGCACAGCTCGGGGGCGGCAGAGTGGTCAGGCCACAGGCCCTGGGGTCAGCCCGGGGAGCATCCATACTACCACCACGTGGGCTTGGCCGGCTAAGTGACTTGGGCAAGAGGCTTCACCTCTCAGGGCCTCGGTTTCCCCGTCTGTCAGGGGGGTGGCTCTGGTGTCGGTCGGGGTGGGGTGCTCCAGACTCCAGGGGATGCTGCTCGACTCCCCCACTGCCAGCCTTGCTCTCAGGACCCCACAGGACTTTGCTCCTTCTGCCCGAGTCCAACCCTGAGGCATTGGACTCCCAGGAGGCCGTCCTGGGCTCCTTGATGTCAGCCCTTCCAGGACAGACCTGGGAAGGAGGCCAGCACAGGCTACCTGGACGGGGAGGCAGGCTCCACCCTGAGAGACAGCGCCACGCCCACCACAGTTCCATGCACTGTCTCCCCCAGAGGTGGGTGGCCAGGACAGCCCCTTCCTTCCCCGGGTCTCCGTTTCCCCCTCCGCAATTGACGGGAGACAGTCTTTGTCCTGCAGCCCTGAAAACCCCTGCTGAGCCCTCTCCTTCTCTAGGAGAAGGGCAGGACAGGATGCCTGTGTCTGGGTTAAAACTATTCCTCTGGCCAAATGGTGGAGGTTTGGGGTGGGGGTGAGGTTTCCCTGGGAGATGGCTAGGACCTGGGGTCTTGGGGGAATACGTGAGTCATCTCAGTCCCTGGCTTTGAGCAGAAAAGGCAGATGCTCCTCCTTTGCCCCTACCTGCCCATGCAGGAGGGCCCCAGGCCCTGAGCTGAGGTCTCTGCCAGTGGGTGGCCCCGGGAACGGTCCTGTCCCCCTGAGTGCCAGGTGAGGGGGAGACCCACAGGCCTCAGCCTTCTCTGTCCAGTGGTCTCTTCCTCTCCCTCCCTGGGGACCCCATGCATCCCCTTCCCCATGCCCCCATCATGTCAGGAGGCCGGCGGCTACTCACCGGGCTGCCTCGGCTGCTCTGCTGGCCGCCGGCTCCCCGCTGCCTCTGTTCTCCCGCATTCACACATTTTTGTGTGAGAGCTTTGCTATGCGCGTGGGGCTTGGAAATCACTCTGCTTGTGAGCCGCGCCTCTGGGGAGCGATCGAGTCCCTCCGGGTTCTGAGCACCCCCCTGCTCTGGGCCAGCAGAGTGGCCGAGGAAGTCGCTCGGGGGTCACTGGTCTCCCAGCCCCCAGGGCCCTGGGGGAGCATCAAGCCTTCCACCCACAGGACGCTGAAGCCCACAGAGGCGGGCGAACTGCTGGGGTTCCTCTGTTTGTGTCACAGCTGAGAGGGGGGTCCATGTGGCCTTCACCCTCCTCCCACCCAGGAGACTTGTGCAACCTTAGATCAAGGACCAGGTGGCCCACGGTGTTCCCGGCAGGAATGGAGGGTGTGTGTGTGAGGTGCGTGCGTGTGTGAGGTGTGTGTGCGCGGGCACAGTGTATTCAAGCGGCAGCGGAGGATTTGCTTATCAGTTTCTAGGTTCAGATTCTTGCCAAAGTACCTCTGCACAGGTGTCTCTGCACAAAGTCTGGGAGCCCACGCAGGATCCACAGGCCGGGGCCAACTCCCAGCTAACTCAGAACAGGGCAGGGTGCCACACTGACCCTCATAGCTCTCCTCACCCGTGTGTATCCACACCTCTGGCAGCAGGGACTGAAGTCCATTTTCTCCAAACCCTTGATACTGGGCTGCCCTGGGACTTCCTGTGCCCCTGGGAAGCAGGAGGGGGCATGTCCTTTCTGAGACGAGGCTCTGCAGGGCCTTGCTGGCCTCTGGCTCTCTTGGTACTGTGAGCAGCAGCGTTGTGTCTGGGCCAGACTGCTGGAGGGTGGGGCACACGGGACAGCTCGCCAGCCCGGTTGTCCCTGCAGTGGCCCCCACAGGGGCAGTCACAGTTTGGAGGGCACCGAGCTGACCGTCAGCAAACACCAAGGCATGAGGGGCCCTGCCAAGCCCAGGTGGGATCCAGCTGCAGGGAGTGCTCTCTGCGGTGTGTGTGGGGTTGGGGCTGTTTGCTCTGTGTGCAGTGTTTCTGGGGCGACAGCCACGTGAAGCCTTTATGGTGGCCTCATCGGCTCTCATATAAGCAACTCCACAGGCCAGGCACCAGATAAGGCAGCGCCGTGGATCATGAAAGGACACTTCGAGGTGTGGCGCTGTGGCCTCCCCATGCTTCCAGCGGGGGACCAAGGCCTCTCTGGCCTCGCCCTGCCTTCCCTCTCGCCCTTCTCCCGGAGAGCAGGGAGGGGCTTTCTCTGAAGTCCCATCTGCCTAGCGACAGACCCTCCAAAGCCCACACGATTGTCGTAAACCCTCTCCCACCATTTTATCAACCAGGGAAGACGTCTTACTGTCCCGGGAGACTGAAGGTCAATGTCACAGCTATCACAGGCTGTCACTTATTCTCCTGTAGACAACTTTCATTACCCAGTGAACTTCATCTACATAAGGAGGCACCGTTGTCTACACTTCCCAGAGCCCAGACCTGTGATTCTGCAGCCCAGGAAGCGTCCAGCCAGGGGCCCTGGCACCAGATGGGTTCTGTGAGATCCTGTGTGCGCACACGTAATAAATTTGAAATGTCTTTTCTCCTGTGAATCTGTCCACTGTCAGTTTATTTTATAGTATCATAGGGGTGCCAGAGCAGTCCCCAAAGGTGGTTAGTTTTGTTTTGTTTTTTTTTTTTTGGTATGATGATGAAGCTAAGTGGTTCAGTCCATCAAAGATGTCACTGATGTTTTCATTGTTGCCATTGTTACTACTCTTGATGGTCCAATTAGTCCCTTTTTGGCCTTAGCTGTATCACTGAGGACATCTACTGTGGAATCGTGTAGCATAGAATCTTCTGAGGTTGCCTTTTTCACCAGATGGTGGTGTGTACTGAAGGAAGGCCGTCACCCTCAAATATACCTCTTTTTTTTTTTTCAAGAGGCTTTCTCCAATTTATTTCTTTGGGAAAGGAAAACAAAAAGTCTTTCCATCATATATGGTAGAGATGAATATTTATACATTGTTATGCTCGAATTCGGGACCCCCAAAAGACTACCAGAGACCAAGATCGATGTAAACAGCAAAGAGGTGTTTATTGCGAGCTAGCTTGGTCCTCTGCGCGCACACAGCAACTGGTGACGCTGAGAGGCCCCGAGCCCAGGGTTTGCAGCAGTTTTATACATTCTTTGGAGAAGGCAGGGACCCCCACATACATCATAGCATCTCTTAGCAAATCATCACACACCACGGGAAAATCAAATAACAACTCTAAAACATGATTAGCACATTCACTGGCGGGAACAAGTTGGGTGATCGGTTAGTACAAGAGGGGGATTCATTTGAACTGATTGGTTTAGGGTGTACGTGCTGAACTACATGGTTTCCCAACACGTTATCAACCACCATAAACTACTGGGGGGGTCATCTGGTATCCCAGGTATTTCCCTGTCTCATGCTGATTGGTGGCTGCTAGGGGGTTGCTATGGATCCTCACCTAGCCTGACTGAGTCAGGGACACCTGGCGCAGCAGATCTCTCCTGTTATTTGTAGATAAACCACTTAGCGGGGTGGGAATGTGCCTAGGAGTGCTCTGTGGGTCATGTCCCTTCCTTGGACAGGCTTTGCTCTGAGGTAGAGGCTGGTTTTTCAATATAATTTATTTTGTGGTTGGACATCCCAGAGCTGGATCCAACTAGGTCTCTTGACATAAAGTTCCTTTTGAACTGAAGGCAACTGGGAAGTAGCCAACACCAGGAGGCAGGTTTTCGACCCTCCCTGCCCTTTTCTGCCTAGAGGCAGGAGGTAAATTCACCTTTACTGCAGATGCCTAGAACCTTCTCAGCGCAGAGATGGCAGGACTACTGTCTTAGCAATCTCTGGTGTGTTCACCTTCCCGTTCTCTGCGTTTGGAAGTCTAAACCTGCTTCCCTTTGTTCTGCCGGTTCCTCTAGGAATCCCTCACCTCTCCACCTCCCCACCCAGCATGCTGAGGCTGAGTCCTGCAGCTCCCTGAGCTCCTACCTTGGGCTGTGCCCCAGCCCCAGCTGTTCTTTGCTGAAGATGCCGCGTTCGGAAGTCTGCCTTGAGTTACTTTATAGGAAGAGAACCCAGGAGTGAGGGTGCCTTGACATATGGTAAGTGTGTATTTTACTTTTTAATGATCAGCCAGAGTTTTTCCCAGAGTGGCAGGGCCATATGCAATCCCTGACAGTAGCCTAGGGGACTCTGGTTGTTCTGAGTTTTCTCTAGCACTTGGTATTTGCCCGTTTTTAGTTTGAGCTATTCTGACAGGTGATTAGTGCTGTTTTGTCATAGCGTAAAGGCTAATGACATTGAACTTCTTTGCATGTACTTATTTGCAATCCCACATTTTCTTTGTTAAACTATTGAAGTCTTTATTCAATTTTGTTATTAGATTGTATTCTCAGTATTGAGTTTGGAGAGTTCTTAATAGTCTTTGTCAGATATATGATTTGCAAACATTTTCTCCTAATTTGTGACTTTTTATCATTTTTTTAGTACTAGGATTGGACTCAGGGGTGCTTAACCACTGATCCACATCCCCAGCCCTTCAAAAATTTTTCTTTTTACATTTTGAGACAGTGCCTCTCTAAGCTGCTGAGGCTGGCTTTAAACTCATGATCCTCCTGCTCCAGCCTCCTGCGCCGCTGGGATGGCAGGCGTGAGCCACTGCACCTGGCAACTTTTAATCTTTTCTATGAGATGTTTTACAGAGCAAAAATTTGAATTTTAAGTTCAATTTATCGATGTGTTCTTGTTCTGTGAATTGTATCTTTGATGTTATATCTAAACACTCCAGGTCTCAAAGGTTTTCTCTTACATTTTTTTCCTATAAATTTTATAGTTCTACATTTTAAGATTAGATCTACATTAATTTTGAGTTAATGTTTTGCATAAGGCCTGAGATTTAGATTGAGTTCCTTTTAATTTTTTGGCCAAGTGCCAAGTTGTTCCGATACTGTGGGTAGAAATGACCAATCTTCCTCTACTGAATTATTTTTGTGCCTTTGTCAACCTTAGTTCGTGTAGTAGAGTGGACCTAGACTCTCTGTTCTGCTGTGCTGACAGGTGCCAATGTCACACCGTCTTGATGAACATAGTCATATAATATGTCTTAAAATCAAATACTGTGTTTCTTCCAGCTTATTCTTATTTTTCAAAATTGCTTTGGATATTTTAATTCCTTGACCTTTTCCTGTAAATTTTAGACCCAATTTGCCTCTACATACAAAGGATCCAGCTGTTATTTTGATAGTAACTGCTTTACCTCTGTCCACCAACGTGGGGAGGGTTGTATATATATATATATATATATATATATATATATATACACACATACACAATGTCTGTAAGAATATCTATTTATATTCATCTCTTTTCATACAAAAGTAGCGGACTCTTTATATTATTCTGTGCATTTTTTTTCCACTTAAAAAGACATCCTGGAGATCATCTCAAGCAGATCTGGAGATCATGTGAACCCCTCTTTTTAAAAATTTATTTATTTTAATTAGGTATATATGTGCACTCCTCTTTACAGCTGCTAAGTTGTCCTTGTTGGACTGTGTAGCTTTTGTAGTCCCCTAGTTCCCCACCAAAGGACATTGTTTTTTTTTTTTTTTTTTCTGGGGGGGTGGTGGGTAGCCAGGATTGAACTCAGGGGCACTGAGTTCACTGAATCACATCCCCAGCCCTATTTTGTATTTTATTTAGAGACAGAGTCTCAGTGAGTTGCTTAGCACATCGCTTTTGCTGAGGCTGGCTTGGAACTTGTGATCCTCCTGCCTCAGCCTTCTGAGCCACTGGGATTACAGGTGTGCGCCACCACACCTGGCCAAAAGGACATTTTGGTGTGTGTGTGTGTGTGTGTGTGTGTGTGTGGTGCTGGGGATTGAACTCAGGGTTGCTTTGAGTCACATCCCCAGCCCTTTTTGTTGTTTATTTTTAGACAGGGTTTTGCTAAGTTGCTCAGGCTTGTCTCAAACGTTCGATCCTTCTACCTCAACTTCCTGAATAGCTGGGATCTGGGATTACAGGCATGTGCCAACACACCTGGCTATTGATGTTTCCAATTTTGTTTGATTATCAATAATGGTGCCATCAATGAGCTCAGTGGTTCTTAATGGCATTGGATTAATGGTTCTTAATGGCATTGGCCAGCCTGATTTTCTCTTAAAATTGGGAGCCATCTCGCCACAAAGCCATGAAAAGCTAATTTCGGCTTTACTATAAATTACTGCAAATTCTGAACCTGCTTGGAATGCCTGCCCGGGCCTTGAACTCACCCATGCCTGGCTCTCTGACCAGATAGCAGCCTTCTCTAAAACTTTAGTGACGCCTCATAAATCTTGGCCTTCCCTGGCCAGATAACAACCCTCTCTGAGGCTCTAATGACCTTCATTTTTCAGTGTCTGTGCATCCGTTATGAAATATCTCGATTCCCACCCCCTGGTTGTACCCTTACGATCTGGTACAGCACCTGGTACACAACAGGTATACATTTGTTGTGTTCAAGAATGGAGGGAAGTTTCTAGCACCCTGTCCAGCACCTTGTAAGTGTGGCATGGACCTGCTCCCCTTCCCTCTCCTGCACCCTCCAGGGCCATGCTCTGCACTGGGGCTGCAGGTCCGGGACTGCGTGTGGCCAGGTCCTGAGCAGAGGTGATGAGGAGCTTGATGCCTTGAGCTGAATGCCTTGGATGCCAACCTCTAGATGTGCTCACCTGAGGGTGACAATGGACGCCCCCACACAAGGACTCCAACCCCCTGCTCTCCCAGGAACCATCTCAGATGGCTCCCAGTCATGCTGCTTCCCGGACAGAGGGGCGTGTCTTCTCCTGCCTTGGGAATAGAAATGGAGACTTTTACGGAAAAGGGAAACCAGATGAACCGGTGTCGGGTGGAAAGAGGGCTGGCTGTGGGTCAGCAGACAGGAACCCTGCCTTGTGTCCACCCCTCAGTGACTGGCTCAGAGGAGGGATTCCCTCAGCCTCAGTGTCCTCATCTATAAGATGGGTTCACATCCACCTGTGCTACCACTGGAGATTCAATACCTGCGCTCAGTGAAGTACAGGTGCCGTGCCCATGGGAGCGGCCCACTGCCCTTACCCCCCAGAGCGTGGCTCTGGTGTGAGTTGTCTTGGGAACCACATCCTGGCGCCGTGTGGGGAGAGCATAATATGGTAGTCTCAGGGCCCTCTGGTGACTGGTGACACAAACGTGTCTCCAGAGGAGACTGTGGGGAGCCTGTGGCTGGCACTGCAGTAGCCTAGGGGTTCACTCATCTTGTTGCCTCCCCTCCTCGCTGCAGGTGGAGAAGAGGTGCCCGAGCACAACTAGCCATCCGAGAACGGCAGGAGCATGGCCACATGAGCAGGGGCGAGGTTCTCTGGAAGATGCTTCCAGTGGAAAGACCCCTGGAGGTCTGTCAGGAGCACCAGGCCTGTGGCCCCCACATCCTGACAGTGTGGCTGTTGTCACACAGGAAAGAAGGCAGAGGGACACCAGAGAGAGGAGGGAGCAGTCATGCAGCCAGTTCTCAATCAATGGGCTGGAACCACCTGTGGGGACCGCTGGCCCACAGAGCACCTTTGTGCAACCGAGGGAAGGACCCTTCATGAGCGGTCTTGGATTCCGCGGGCACCTCCACCATGGCCCATCCCAAGCAGCTCTGTCTGTGGGGGAGGGGTGCCATGCGTTCTGCAGCCCCAGCGGGCAGCCTGGGCGCCCCTTGTCTCCCGCTCACACACCCAGGGGTGCTGGGGCACACACAGATGGCTGGCAGTGCACACGCCCTGTATCACGTTCCCTCCCCCTTGGGGGTGAGACTGTCACGGTCAGAGTCGGGGGAGGAAGGTTGGGAGTTGGACCTCCACCAGACTGCAGACCAGTCTAGAGCCAGCCTCTCAATAGGGTGCACACACTGGGCAACGGACTTAAAAAGCCCCTCGCAGTTCACTGTGGCTGAAAGAGATCTAGAGCCAAGGGGGAAATATGTATGAAGTAAAAATATTAATAACAAATAAAAATTAGGTTTAGGAATGAAGAGGGGAGAAGATGGTGGTTGATATTGGCCTAGCAATGATGCTAGGGTCAAGGTCATGGGAGGTTCAGGAAGTAAGGAGTCTTTCTTCTGCAATGCCTCCTCCTGAGACTTGGAATAGGCACCTTCGACGTCTATCTCCGGCCATAATCAGGTACATCTTGGTACGTCGGTTCAGGAGGAACGTTGTCAGGGTAGCTAGGTTTGGCAGGACTGGTGGTAGGGTTGGCAGGGCTGGTGGCAGCACTGACAGGGATGTCAGTAGTGTAGACGTGGCTGGCGGTCATGTTGGCTGTGTTGAAGCTGAATATGCTTGAACCTATTGTCATGTTCTGAAAGGCAAAGGACACAAGACCATCATCTTCTTCTGCAGTAAACCGTAAAATGATCACTAATTCTTCCCCTTCCTGTTTCCATGCCTTGGTGGACCTTCTCTCACTGATGCTGGGCTTAGTCACAGGGCTTTCTTGGGACAGGGATGAGCATATTTTGCATGTTGTATAAGTGCTAGTAATTTGTGGAGAGAGGAAGACTTATCAACTGCAAAACTGATTACAAAGCCATGTAAATGGCTTTGGCCCGGGAAGATTAGCAAGTGTGACACAAGTGAGGACAAGAGAGCTTGCTGAGGGAGCCGCCATGTTTTACGACTCTGTGGAACGGTCACTCTGTGAAGGAGCTCAGGCTGGCATACCAGAGGATGAGATAGCCCGTGGATCAGAGAGGAACTGTTCCATCAAGGGCTCCGTACACAGGTCTTCCCACCTGGTAGCTGGCTACAGATGCAAGAGCGCGTCCATCTAAGACCAGCAGACGGACTCACTGATGATTGCCCAGATTGATTATATTCAGAATCAAGAGCTTGATAAATGGTTGCTTTTTTAAATCACTAAATTTTGGGGTCATTTGTTATGCAGCAAAGCTTAACCGATACGTTCTTTCTCAGGCTCATTTGTCTGTCTTTGGTCATGTCTTGCTACTCTCCCCGCCGCCCCCCCCCCCCCCCAGGAGCATGCTCTGATTCCTGGGACACTGACCTCAAAGCGTCTCCAGCAGACAGCCTGGCATCCAAAATGCGAGACCACACATGTGAGGAAGAACTCCAAGAGGACAAAGGGCAGGAGACTACCCACGTAGACCTTCATGTTAACCTAGAGGCAGACAGGAACGGAAGCACTTTAGTCCTTAGGGTTGACTATCTAGGTGACACTCAGGGCTCACCTTAGGCAAGTGCCACATGCCTCATCTGGAAGGCCTGAGACCCTCTGCAGTGGTCTCTTGAGCACATCCTCTGGGCACCCCTTCATGTACCCTTCCTGTCCACTTAGTGGACCTTACCTGATGCCCAACTGTCAGCACCTGCATTTTTACTTTTCTTTCTTTCGATCTCTAAAGTAATTGTTGTATTTTCATCCCTTTGACATTATAAAGGATATTTACATATACAAATGGACCATCAGATGGAGACTCACAGAGGGCAGGGTCTGGAGGGTCCCAGGCTCCGTCCCTGTGGGGCCGGGGTGCACCACTCTACTGCACATGGATGTGTTCTTGTTCGCTCGTCCCCCCCACGGACACCCCTGAACGCCTCTCTTACAACACCTGCCTTTCTCTGCCTTGCGGCTTCCTCTGGCCTCCAGAGCCCACTCTGCTATTGGCACAGCAGGTCTGCAGCTCAGGAAAGAGGCCCCTGGAGGGCAGCCCTCTATTAATGACCATCAGTGTTCGGTGTATGAAGACCCCAGCTGCCTTGCCCCTTGGGTTCCTGTTTGCTTCTCTTCCAAATGAACGATATGTCTCAAAGTCGCATGAGAAGAACCCAAGCTGAGACGTGCCTCAACAAGCACACAGACCAGGTGATTGGTGACAGGGGCTGTTGGGACAGACACCAATGAGGGTGATCATCAGCTCTGCTTGGCTCCTGGCTTCTGTGGCCTGATCCCTATGATGCTATATGGATGCTGTCCTTGGAAGGTGGCCATGGGGACTCAGAACTTGAGGAGCTTCTGCTAAGAGGGAGGCCAGGGCAGTTCAAGAGACCCCATAGAACTCGGTGTAATTAGGATCATGTCCATCCCCAGTGGGGTGGAGGGGTCATGGAGATCATCCTGTGGTCCCCTCTACACTCCTCCTCTCTGCAGCAGAGAGGACTGGCCCCTTGCCTAAGGGAATCCGAAGTCTCTGGGTACCACTACACCAGTGGTCATTCATGACAGAGGTCACGATGCCCAATGACTGCTTTTAGGACCAGTAGATATTGGCCTCTTGATTCCCCAGGACCACAATCCACTCTTGAGGAGGACATCCAGTCCCACCCTGGGGACTCCAGAGGCCAACACCTGGCCTGGTTTGTGGCTTGCTGCATCCTCTAGATGCCATGTTACATCAGCAGAGTCACTTCACCCTAGAGCCGGCAGGAGCCCTGTCTGTAGGGAGCACCTCACCAGCACACAGGTCTGGATAGAGACCCCGTGCCCTGCCAGCCCTCCCTGCCTGCTTGGTTAGTCCCAAGGGAGGACAGGGTCACGGCTCACTGTGGAACAGTTATTCTTGCCCTTGCCCTTCAGGCCTGCTGAGTACTGTGTCAATGCCACTGAGGTCCTTCCTGGATCCCAGTGGCCCTATTTCCACTCCCACCACCTGTCTTCCAGCCTCATCACATGCCCGAGGGCCTCCCTTGGCCAGGAGACTGCTTTGCCCATGTGCAGGGCAGACAGGAAGCACCTGGGAATTGGTGGCCTCAGCAGCGGTTTTAAACCAAGGACTGAGTGGAGTTGGGGGCTCCCTGCCTGCTCCCTCGCCCCGCGCAGGCCAGAACTGAGACGCCCACTCCTCACTCTGCTGGACTCCCACCAGGAGGGAGCTCCTGTGGTCACCTGCCTGACCACGCCCTTCATCCTGGCTTCCCCCCTTGCTCTTATCATGCCCTCCCTCCCCTGCTGGGGCTTCCTGGGCTCACCTCTGACAGAAATGCCCTGTACCTGAATCTTGCTCCTGCATCTGCTTCTGCAGCCCCCCAAATAAGACAGGAACCTAGCTTCAGCACCTCTTCTCTCAGTGACAGGCTGTCCCTCCGTAGGTTCCTGGGGCAGGTCATCTTGTGCATTCGATTGTGGATTTGAGTGGTGGCAACCCTGCTGCAAACCTGAGCACTTGCTACCTCTAAACAGGATGTAGGGTGGGTAAAAGAAAGGCTCAATTGTCTTCTCCTCTCTGTCCTCTCTGCGAAGTGAGGTTTATGATGGTGGCCTCCACAGCCACAGAGTTTGGTGAGGGTCCATACTTGGTGGACACAGTGCTCATCTTACTAGGTTGGAATTCTGTTGGAATTAGCCTCCTGCTCTGGAAACAACCTTGTGATCCCTCCTGTCCTTTGGCAGCATGGGCCTAGGCAGGTGGATTGCTCACCTCCCTTTGAATGGACATATCTGCAATGAAAATGGAGATGCCCGTCAGGGAGAAGACTGCACTGACCACGTTCATGGCGATGCTGCCATTCACCTGGAGGACACAGAGGGAGACAACGTGAGCAGGGCCCAAAGCCCAGCATCTGGCAACATAGGGAGGCAGGAGAAAAGAGAAAAGTCTGTGCAGGAAAGAGGTGAGAAGCCAGCGGATTCCAAGCAGAGTGAGGTGGGAGTTGTTCTGGAATCACCGTGCAGGTCCCCTTAGGACAGGGGCCCCCTTTGCTTGGCCAACACCTCACTAAGTAGAGGGACAGGAAATGAGGTTCGAAGGCTGGGTTGGAAAGACACAAGGACAGGGCCCAGGTGCTCTCAGGGAGCTAAGCAGGGACCCCAGCCTTGCCTTGGGAGGAGGGTGTGGGAGAGACATGGCTCCTGGGGTGGAGGGCTGCAGCCTGGGCTGGAGGGTGACAGGGGAAGGTTTTCAGGGCCAGAAAGTCTAACGGTCAATGTTAAGGGATCTGCTTCTCCGTGATGAGATGCTGACATCCTGCAGTTGTTCACGACGACTCCTACTCAGGCGGCCTCCCTGAGGGGTATGGGGAAGGAGACAGGGGCTGTGGGCCACATTTGGGCTGAGCCCGGGACAGCTGTGGGACATAGAGCCTGAAGCAGAGATGTCACTCAGATGTCACGCAGCAGAGCAAGGGGGTTAGGGGGTGCCCAGGAATTGGCAGACACCATTAGAGGGCTCTAGACTCCCCAGAGATTGGGGGACAGGGTTCAACCAGTCTTGTTGGGACATGAAGAAGCCGTGTGAGCTGAGCCGATGTTGGGGTATCTGGGGTTCTGGCCTTTGGGAGGGATGAAGTAAGGAAGGCAGATGGGGGCAGTGGACATTTGTCCTGGGGAAGGAGATTGGTGTCTGGGGACACTTCAGTTAGATCACCCAGCCCCTCAGCCTATGGCCTTCTTCACATGGCGGGAGACAGATCCGATGCCTGCAGAGGGGAGAAGGTGTTAAGGGGAAGGAGGGCTTGGGGCAGGGGTGAAGGGGGCCACCGTGGAGCTCTGCACTCATTCCCAAGCTTCTTAGAGGCCACAACAAACTCAACACATGAGCGGATGTTTTTCTGGATGTTGAATGACACCCCAAAGGCCCCAGGGAATGCTATGCCCTGTGCCCTGTGGCTGGGACTCCACGTTGTTCAAAGCAGAATTTCCAGGTCCAGCCAAAGAGGAAGACAGGAAGTGCCAGGGAGGCGGCTGCCGCGCACCATCCCCTGTGGCCCAGGCCTGGCTTCCTGCTTGACGCAGAGCCCCCCTGGGGCACCGCTCTGCAAACTCACGAGTTTCCCAAATAGCCAAGTGGTTTTTAGCAACTAAATTCTTGTGATAACTAGAAGCACAGGTTTGGAATCAGCTTGTACGTCCAAGTCCCAGCTCTGCCCTGTGTTCAGTGTGTGACTTCACATAAGACATGTGACCTCTCTGGGCCTCAGTTTCCTCAGCTACAATACAGGGACGACAGAACTTCCTAGAGTTGTGTATACTGAATGGATTGAGGTGAGTGAAGGTTCTGAACCCAGCGCTGGGCCACTCTGCCACCGTGGGACCTCTTTTCCATGATTGGGAGAGGAAAACATTAACACTCAGGGGTCACCAAAGAAGGCATCAAACTCACCACACATGGGCTGGTGTCCTTCTCAGCCAATACAGACAGGGATCCAGAGGCAATGTACTATGCAGACAAAAAAGAATGATAGGTTTTGCAGAACATTAAAAATGACAACCATCCATTCAGAGGTGGATCTTCCCTAAGTCTGCAAGTTCTACGCATTTTGTTCCAGAAAAAATGCAAACTGTTTACTTCTTTCCAACATTTTCCCCATCCCAGTGAACGTGCCCAGTGTACTGAGTGCTGCAATGCTCTGACCCCTGTGAGCCGAGTCTAAAGACTCCCTTTCCTCTGGCAGTCTAATCTTGTTCCAGGGTGCTCTGTCTCATTATCGTCACCTTCTAACAGGTTCTCCTTGAGGACGTTGCCTGGGCATGTTGTTGCCCAAACTCACTTATTGCTCACTCTGCCTAACAACCAAGGGTAACAGCCAAGGGTAGGTTGGTGTGGTGGGCAGAGCCTTGGTGCTGGGAGACAGGAGACCTGGGATCCTGCTCTACTTCTGTGACTGGTCACCTCACTGTGCTCCAGGACCCAGCTTGAGAGTCCCAACTAGCACTCCATGATGCAAGTCATGTGATGGGCATGGAACACTCGAGGCTAGACTCCAAGCTCAGTCTAATTAGGAGAGGCTCAGTTCCTTCTTCCAGAACTTTCTGTCCATGAGGGTGTGATGGTAACATCTAACCTCTCCACACTGCAGTCTCCTCATCTAGACAATGGACATGGATAACGATCCCTGTCCTCTCTACCCCCAAGTAGGTCGTGCCATTCAAGCGGGAGAATTAGAATGGTATTCTCAGTGGGGAGGACAGGGAGATTTCCAGGGCATCCTGGGCTCTCTTAAAGCTTCTCCTCCAAGAACTCACTTCCTGTGCCACTGTGGGAGGCTAGAAGGCAGCAGGGCTGGAGCATAAATTTGGGCCTGGCTGGGAGCCTGCAGCAGGGCTTCTGGCAGAGGACAGCAGCATGGGGCAGCCTTGATCATCCCGCCATGTGCTGATTGCAGCCCTCAGCCTTCTGGGACTTTCCTCACAGGGGGACTTCATTGTGTTCCAGTGGTTTCTCCAAGAGACACTTATTCCTGTCACTGCTGTATAGACTTGTGCTTGCAGCTTGGGTCAAGGTTATCAGTGTGCAGTCGTTGCTGACACCTTTGGTCTTGTCAGTCCACAGAAAGTTAGATCCAGGAAGTTTGAGAGGAAGATTCATGCCTGCTCTTGACATCAGTGCTGTTACAGGACTTAAATCCTAAAATCCCCCTGGAAATTGCTTCCTGTCCTGAGCTCACAACTGGTTCTGCATGTTGATACATATGCACATATTTCTGGAACAAAGTCTATCTTTAATATTCTTTTAGGCTACAATAATACAGACCAGATGTTCTGGACAGGCACTTGGCCAGCAAGGTACCTCCACCACTGAGCTAAGCCAATTCCTGCCTTGGCTCTCGAAACCAGTGAACTTTGTGTCCAAGCCACCTATGTGGATTTCTCTCATTTTGCTCATAAAACTAGCCTTTGCCTCAGCCTCCTTGACTCTGCCTACAGTTTGCTTTGGTCTGAGTGTCCCCACTGCAATGCTCCTCTGTTCCCAGATAAGTGTCACTATTCTTTGGCAAACTTCTCTCTGGTAGTGCCATCGCTAAAGGAAATAGGTGAGTGCAGAATCTGGCTGACCCAGCGTTATGTCCTGGGGGCACTGTTGACCATTCTATTTGTCCATAAGGAAATATATATGCTATCTACCTGATCTGAGTGTTTCTTTATGAATTTGTGTTTTGCATATAAGTCTTTCTAGGCCACTATATTTGAAGTTTTAGTCAATCCAGTGTCAGTAGTAGCATTCAATCAGTGGCAATCAAATAGGTTTGTCAAACAAATTTAAAAATGCCAAGTCTTAAAATAACCCAGTGGATTAAAGAAACTATTTGACATATCTGATGATCTGTGACAGTACTGAAAACCATGACACTAAAGTCCCCTGCAGTTCAGGAAGGACATCCTGGAATAGAATAGTGGCACAGATAAGAGATCTCTGTGAATTTCTGTTGAAGCCTCTTCCATTCCCTTATGTGTAAAAAAGACTTTCTATTTATGTTGCCTTTAAAAAATAGTGCTAGGGATCAAACCCAGGACCTTCTACATGCTCGGCCAGCCCTTTACTACAGAACAACAGACCAGTCCTCTATTCTATTGTCGAGATGATTGAGATGCTGTATGAGAAACGGTCATAACTGGCCACTGCTCTAAAAACGTGTTTTGTCTGATGCTTATACATTGGAAAGGAGCTTTGAACTGGATGATTTGAAATCCTAAAAATGATAAGCTAGTCCCAGACAGTTGCATCTAAAACAGCCGAAATGGGTACTAGCCTGTATGGTAAGACAAGAAAACGAAAACCATGAACAGATTGCGCATGAACAACTAACAGGGTGATTATTAGTACATATCATAGTCTACACAGAAATCCCAAAAGATTCTAGAAGCAAATCACTAGAATTAATAAGAAAGTTTAGTAATTTCACTAGATGTGAGATCAATATGTAAAAGTCAATTGCATGTAAATATACTACCAAGAGTGGTTTGAAATGAAGAAAAAATTACAGAATGATGTAATAAAGATATGAAAAATTTTAATGTAAAAATTAACCAATGTTGAAAGATATTAAATTCTGATGCCTATTCATAGATCAAAAGAATAAATACCAGCAAAACGTGAATTCATTCTATGCTGATCTGTGGCTTCAGAATAAATTCAATTGACCTGATTTGTCACAAAGTCTATATGTACCAAATTATCATACTGTATCTCTTAAATTTGTGCTGTTAAAATTACACAATCAATAAAAATATCTATCAAAGTATATTGCAGCTTAAAAAAAAAGCCACTTGGAAGAATCGGAAGAAAATTTTTAGTAGAATGTTTCTTGGAACATGAAGTATAGATGGATGATCAAAAGCTAACATTAGTTTTGGCTCCCCTGGCTAAAAAGGAAAACAAATTCCAGGAAATTTTAGATATAAAGATTTAGCATAAAGATATAGTAATCAATACAATGTAATATAGAATTACAAAGACAGATCAAGCAATGTGGAATAGGAGAGAGGTCTCAGAAGCAGACCCGCACATATTCATATGTGACATATGATATTTGGCTTTTTAGGTCAGCAGACAAAGGAGAGCCTAGGACAATTACTAATTCACAGAGACAAAAAAAAAATCAAAATTGGACATTAACATAACATAACCAGAATCAATCCCTAATAAATTGAGGATTTAAGTGTAAAAGTAAACTTAAAACAAATTCAGAGGAAAACATAGAAGAACCTCTTTATGACCTAGGACAGGAAAAGATTACCTCGGCAAGACACTAAAAGCACAGAACACAAAAATTTTGACAAATTAGGACACATTCAGATTAAGATATTGTGTCCATCAGGAGATACCATAAAGAAAGGATTAGCCAAAAATCAAAGGATCAGTCAAAAAACTGGAAGATTATTATCATCAATAAAGAAGAAGCATGAATTTACAAAGAATCCCAATGAATCAAGGAGAAAAAGACAAACAACCCAAAAGAAAATAAGAAAAAAGAAAAAGAAAATTGGCATGTCGGTAGAGAAGGGAAAACTGAATGTTCAATAATGAAAAGATGCTCAAAGCGTTGATAATTAGATGGAAATTCAAATATCCCACCAGACTGGCAGAAGTTTTAACGTTTGCCCTGGTTTTAATTGCCCTGGTTTCCACAAATCTCATTGGGCTTTGGGGCAGTATCTCAAGGCACACCTGGGACCATTTATAGTGTGCTAACACAGGAAGTCCTGCCCACGTGCCTCACACAACCAATTACAGTAGCACGGTTTGCACTGCTGAGAACTGAAAACAACCTAGATATTTGTTGACAAGAAAATGGACAAGTAAATTGTAGCGTATTCATGTAGCAGATCAGGATCCATCAGTGCAACATGAACTATGGCTGTTTGTGGCACAGACGAATCTCCAAAACAGAATATGCAGTGAGACAGAGTGAGCTGTGTGAAGATGCAGCAGGCTTCATTCACATGGCTTTATACCCGTGCAAAGGCACGCCGTGTGGGTGCATGTGGCTGGACCACAAAGAACGGGAATGAGAAACACAAAATGGAGAATAGGGGCCACTTCTAGAAGCAGGGAGCGGATACTCTTGGGGTTTTAAAACTTGGTGATGCCTCTGGTTTTGAGTTAGGTCATGGATACATATCTCTTCATTTTTAAAAATTTTTACTCTTTATTCCCTTTAGACACACAATCCTAAAACTCATTCCAGCCACCTTTGAGTGTGCAGCTCACTAGCACTGTGCACCAGCAACACCACCATCCACACCCACATCCCTTTCCTTGTCCCACACTGAACTGTCCCCATTCAATACCACCTCCCCATTGGATAGCCTCTGGAAACCACCGGGCTACCTCTCTCTCTATGCATTTGACTCATCTAGGTGCCTCACACAAGTGGAATCACTCAACATGGGTGTCCATTTCTCTATTAGTTAACTTCTTCAGTTCCATATTCTTAGTGGCCTGTCAGCAGAAAGGCTTCCCATCTGCCTGCTGAGGTGCCAGTGGTTTTGGAAAAGACTCTGGTTTGCAGTATTTGCTGATTTCTTTGGTGCAGAACAGCGGATCATTTGTGGTCAAATAGCTTACCTAATTCCTGACAATTTTATAGTTAGCTGTCGTGACTGGCTGGCAGGCGTCTCGCGAGCACATGAGTGGATATGCTCTGATTTACCTATGAGATGTTTCCTAGAAAGAGCCCTGAGGAAGTGCAGTGGAGAAGGCCTAAAGCAATAAAGGTTTGTGTTCCAAATGTGCCCTGGAGGCAGGGGCTGCTGCTGGGCAGGTGTGAATTGGATGCTGACCTTTTGCTGCACCTGCAGAAGGCTGGCTCTTGGCTCTGAGCATCCTATGACTGTGAGTGGAAATTCCTGCTCTTTCTTTATGTTCTCCTTGTCCCCCTTGGGTGACCCAGGAAGGAGGCTTTGTACTCACGGATAATCCTCCCCAGAACAGATACCCTGATCGTCCAGTCACAGAAGGCTTGGAATACAGCAGAGGGTTGATCCCAGAGAAAACGTGCATCAGGCCAATGATGATCTGGATGGCCTAGGAGGAGACCAGAGGATGGTGAGAGGCAGAGCTGGGGGCCACGGGCTGCCACGCTGCTCTTCCAGCCACGCTGATGCTCCAGAATGACTCAAGGGATGGTAGGTGTTGGGGCTCCCCCAGACCACCCTACCTTCTCTGTGCCCAGGTTTCTTTCCTTCTAAGATGGGCTCTCAGAAGCTGGCCTGCAGGGCTCGTGCGAGACTGCAGCGCACATGAAGCTCACTGGCCAGTTCCTGCAGGGAACTACACGGACACTTTCCCACACCCGAGTTCTCTTTTCAGCCATTCCCATGACTAGCCAGTTTCCCTTGGCAATGGATGCCCTGGGAGACCCTCTATCCCTCTTATCTTTCCTTCTCCTCTAACCTTCTCTTACGGGTCACCTAAACGCTTTTCTGATGACCCATCAGAATGAATCCCCTCCTATTTGGGCTCCCACGGCATGGCTATTCCTGAGAGGTGGGAGGTGGCTCTGGGCGTCTCTGGGCCTCAGTTTCCTCAGGGGTCAAATGACCAGGGTTGAGCAGATGCGTCCCACTCTCCTGGCCCATGTGTCTATGAGTTGGTGACAGATGTGCATTTCACACGATCGTCCCTTCACAAGACAATGTGCTTGATTTTTGTCTGTGTTCTCATTAGGTCTGTACTTCAGAAGGCTGGCATAATTTTCCCACTAAAATGAAATTCAATCCATGAAAGACAGCCCACATTTTTAGCTTTCACTGTGGCTGACCAGGATCCCCAGGCATTTGCTGACTCAATTCTGTTTTGAGAAATTTTCAAATTCTTCCAAAATATCTTAAAATCACTGGAAGCCAAAATTAACAAGGATTTATTTATCCAGTATTAACTAATAATGATAGTAATCATGTTACAAAATCCCAATCACTGTGCAATATCGTAGGCTAGCTCTACCTTTGGAAGGGTCCACACACATGTCTAATCTCACTAGATGCTCACAACCAGCATTTGTTTTCCTGATACTGTTTTATGGAACTTAGTCTAAGATTGATTTTGATAAGTTTTGTCATTGGTAAAACCCACATTTCTATTCCTGAAGGATCTATGAGGAGGGATAGATTGGGGTGTGTGCTAGTCTGTCTTCTGTTGCTCCAACGGAATACCTGAGTCTGGGTAATATGCAGAGAAAAGAGGCTTATTTAGCTCACAGTATGGAGGCTAAAAGCTTAAACTGCATGATGCAGGATCTGGTGAGACCCCCCTGGCTGTGTCACCTTGAGGCAGATGGCATCATGGTGAGAGCTCATGCCAGAAAGAGAGAAACCAGAGAGGATGGGGAAGGGCCACTCTTGCGATTTTGATCAGAACCTGCTCTTGACATCTAGTCAGAAGCTCCACGGGGACTATGCTATTCTCTTCTGAACCCAGTGCCAAGCACTTCCCCTCTGCCACACTTCTTACAGTTCCTCATCAGCTCTCAACATGGCCATGCTGGTGGGAACACAGTTTCCAGCACATGGGCACCTGGGGGGCCTGTGCTAACCATACCCACCCACAGCGGGGCTTCGTGAGTCAGCCTCTTCCCGACCTGTGCTTGCTCTCTGGCTTCCTGGCCTTCCAGCCTCACACAGAACTCTCTGGGCGCTCAGGATGAGCTGGGCATGCGTCCTCTGGCCAGGCCAGAAGCTGATATAATTGCAGTAGCTGCCTCGGAGTGAAGACCCTCCTTGGTCTTTGAGGGTGGTGTCCTGGTCAGCTCTGAGTCCCTGTCACATGGAATGGGTGAGTGTGTACAGATTGAGGATCTGTTACAAGCCAGTCCCCTTGCTAGGAACTGGCTGGGCCTCCAGTCTGCCACAGGACTGATCTGGCTTCTGCCCCAAGAGGAGGATGACCGGAGCTTTTCCAGGGGCCAAATGAGGCTGGAGGAGGCAGGTCAGGGTCAGGATCCCCTTGGTTGAGGAGGAAGTCACAGAGCCTCAGGGCCTGAAGGGATTTAAGAGAGGATCTCACTAGATCTGCTCCCTTTAGAGATGAGCAAATTGAGGCCCCGAGAGGGAAGGATGTGCCCGAGTCCACCCAGCCTCCAGCCAGCCCCGAAACCTGGATCACATGACTTCCTGGTCGATGGTCTTTTGAGTGAAACTGATGCCGACCTTTGGCTCTGACAACTAGGAAGGGGATGGTTAACCAACTTTACAGCCTCCCCAAAGACCAGGGAACTGGTGGAGAGGGGGAGGGAGACGGGGAGGGGGACTGCTGTCTGTGGGACCTCCTGGGTCCAGCCTCCAGAAACTGTCACCTGCTTTGTTCTTTGCTCTCCAGATCTTCGCCTTCCTCATCTAACTGCACCAGAAGGGGCCTTATGAAGTGACCCAAGCAGAAGAAAAGACATCGCACTTACCCCTAATGTTCTGACCTCATCATTGATGAATTTCTTGGGATCAAATGCAGGAAATGATGCAAATGACATGTTCCATGCCATGTTCGATGGGGACTGGCCTGAGGTGGGTGTCAGCCCGGGGATGGTGATCGCAGGATTCTCAGGGTCTCCAGGCAGGGTCTGGACATGGGCTGTTCCCAGGGGGTACTGGGTCACTCCGGGCCCTCCTGCTGGAGGCTGGAGCACGGTGAGCTGGCTCTGTGCACCGGTCACCCCCGCTGGGTTCTGGTACACTAGGAATGGCTGCGCTAAGTTTGTTCTTCCTGTATCACACTGGACCACTGTCGAGGAGGGTGGGTAAGGGGTTGTCCCCGAAGGTTGCTTGTGGCTTTCTGAAGTCACCGGATACCGGGGCTGGGCGACATGGACACTTGCTGGGGCATGAGCACCGGGCACATTGCTGGTTGTGGACATGGTGTGCAGCTGCCACAGAACACACAAGAAGGTGCATTTTCCTCCTCTGACAAAATGCATGACCCATCTTTCCTCATTCTTATGTTCAGCTTCATCCTCATTAAAATGAAAACCACCTGCCACGCTGCTCTACCCAATAAGCTACTTTCCTTCCTGGGAGTCCATGTTCTAGGGACATTCTATTTTCCTTATGTGGGTGTGGATTTGGAGACTAGGTCTCCTGGCTGCTTAGCTCCTGTCGAGCCTGGGTACCTTTTGGCTGGTGGTTTTGTTCAGGCCTCTGCAGTTGGTATTTCAGTCTGCTTACCTTGAGTTTGCAGAATGGGTACAGGCCCACCTGCCCCTTACCCTGGCCACTGTGGGTGGGTCTGGGGATGCGCAGCTGACCTTGAATGGCTGATAGTTCCTTTCTCCTGGGGACTTGGGATTGAATTTGAGGACTATTGTGAGATGGGAAGCCATACAGAGCTGGAGGGTCAAGCACATGTTATGTGCAGAGGGGAAGAGATAGCTCTTCAGAGTCAGGAGAATGAGGACCATGGATGGAGGGAGGGGGAGGGGAGACTTTGATTGTGCCCTTTTAATTTCTGGTTCAAGGTTCTCATTAGCCCCACCTACTTTCGCTCTTGGAGTCTATGAGCAGTTAGCTAGCTCCTGGGTTTAATTCAGCTAGTTTATGGATGGTTCCTTAACATTCATTGGCTTTAGAAAGAAAAGGCAGATTATCTTTCCCAAGCTCCATGTACCCTTGCCACCCAGGGGGACAGTGGACCAGGTGGCCTGGGAATGCCCATCTTGTCCCCTCTTCCTGAAGGTTGTCCACCTGGTGCTGGGATCAGGACCACAGAGACGCTTTGCTGAATTCTGTTGGTCTGTGTTTAACTGATGAATTTCTTGGGATCAAATGCAGGAAATGATGCCAATGACATGTTCCGTGCCATGTTCTGGGTTCCTAGAGGGTCTGAGAATGGCCAAACCCTGAATCACACGCAGTTTCGATTGATTTCTGAGTAGAAGAGGCAGTTGAGAAAAGCGTGAATGTAGTCCTGGGTTGACCTCAGATAACGGGGATCTGGAGAAGCTCTAAACTCTTGTGCTGCTCAGCCCAGCTCAGCAAGGTTGCAAAGGGCCTCCTGAGACCCTTGAAGCAGCGCTAGGTGGGACGAGATCCCACGCAGAGCAGGGGAAGGTAGCTTGTGTGATTCACCTGGGGGTGTTAGTTGTTTTGGTTGCTGGGCTTGTGTCACCAAAATTGTACGCTCCTTGCTGGCAGAAAACCACCTCTCTGGTACCAAATGCTGCAGACCTGATCCAGCCATAAGTGCTCAGGAGGCTCTTGCCCTTTCTACACCAGCCATAAAGATAAAGTGAACCCATCCTAGAGCCCAGAGTCCCAGCTGCTGACAGAGTGAGAAACACTGTGAATCGCCCACAGCCAACTTGGGTTTGGGGCTGACTGAAGGATGGATAGTGTTTAATGTTTAATCGTCTAGAAAATGAAGGCAAGACAGCATCAGGACTACGAGATCAGATAGCCCTGGGGTCATTTCTCAGTTTCTCCATTTAATAGTTTCATGACCTTGAGCCCGTGGCATAGCTCTCACTCTCCTATCTATGAAGCAGAGATGATAAGAAGCTCTGGCCTCTTATCATGGGTGCTTGCAGCACAGAGCCTGGCCCAGGGGAAACACCCACTTTACACTTGTTCTCTGTCGAAATATAGAGACCGTCCACAACAGAAGGCCCCCTGTTTTGAACATTTTTCCTAGTTAACTCCAAAGTATTTTGTTTGCAATACTTACAGTAGGGGATCTCAAAATGTGGTCTGCAGGCCAGCAGGTTCAGGATCACCAGGGAACTTGCTAGAAATGTGAATTCTCGGTCCACTCCACAGACCTACTGGATCAGAGGCTCCAGGAGTGGGGATTTGCTGCAGAAGATTGAGACCCATGGCTGTTCAGAAACACCCCCCATTTCTCCTCGTGACTTCCCTTTCCTTGGATCCCGAATGTCGATAACGCGGGCTCTGCGGGAATTCAGGAAATTCCTAGCTTTCCCTCTTCTACCTTCTAGCTGGTTTCCAAGGCCCGTGCAGCTCTGCTATTGCTCTAGAAAACACCTGTCCTGTCTGCCACCTGGCAGCTGAGCCATTCCCCAGGACTTCTTGCTCAGGTGGCTCTTACCCACATCTCTGCTAAGCAGGGAGAGGAGGCAGTGAGCCGGAAGGGCCCGCCTGTGCATGCTCAGCCCTCAGTAGTGGACTCGGGCCTCAGACTCATCTTTCCTGGCTGCTACGCTCACTTCAAGGTGCTGTCACTGTTCTAAAGGGATCTTAGATCCACCAGGAGACACACAAATGGCAGAAGGTTCCACAGTGCAAAGGGAGGCTGTGGCAGGCAGCACGTGCAACCTCTTAGACCCGAGCACTCCTGGCTTTGGGAAGGAAGGGCAGGTTTCCTAGGGGAGTGGGACATAGTAACAACCACAGCCACCACCGGTGCTTATGCCTCACAGGCCTGCAGGGGGAAGGCGGTTCCTCCAGTGACACATTATTACTATGATCATTTTGCAGCTGAGGTACTGGAGGCTGAGAGAGGTTAGGTAACTGGAGCACAGACACACAGCTAGGAAATGCTGACGCTGAGGTTTGAATTATGAGAATTAAAGCTTTTGTTTTCAAAATGAATACTGTGCTGCGTGCCAGGCTCTGCTTCATGACCTGAGACAATGGATTAGTTTTCTCTTCCTTTTCAGAGCAGGCTTCATTCTTCTATGTGTGAAAAACAAGACAACTGAAGACCTGACAATGGGCACAGAAGACTGAGCCCTGTAAGGGGCCCCCGAGACCCATTCAGTTCTGCTTCCTACCAGGAAACCATCAGGAGCAAAGCAGGAGGTCTGTCAGAAGGCTTTCCTGCATCGCCAGCTCCAGGCCCTAAACAATCCTGATCACAAGGCACCCAGGGCTGGACTCAGAGGGGTCTCCCAGAAGATGCAGGGTTTCCAGCCTTCTAGGGGGACACTGCAATGTCCTTGCAGAGATGGGAACTAGCCTCAGGGACCTGTTCTGACTCTCGGTTACCTCCCAGGTGGCCTGGCTCCCCTTTTCCAATGCCAGGTTGTTGAGAGGTCCCATCAGGCTGGATTTGCTCACCTACAGGAGGAACCTGACTCCCTGCAGCTCCCAAGAGGCACTTCCCAGGTCCTGTCTAGGGCCCAGGTCTCTCCTGAAGTCACCCAGTCTCTGTGGAGGCTTCTCAGAGGAACTCCCGGGAACCTTACCTTGTGGTCCTGGTGAGTCTTTGGGGTTCCTTCTTCAGTCTGTTGGTTCTTACAGCTGGCCCAGAAATTCCAGATGAAGAAGAAATATTAGGTTTCTCTTTCAAGGACCAAAGTCCTCTTTGCAGTTTCAGGTAGAGTCAACGAGTCTATTGTCTAGCACCCAGGGAGGGTTTATTTACCCCTGAGAGAATTTATGGCCTTGACTGCTTAGGATTCTGTGGGAGCTCCTTCCAAAGTCTGTCTGTGAGAAATGGAGAGATTAAGAAGTGGAGAAGTGGGCCATGAAATTTACATGAGCCCACAGATTACACTGATTAAGCAATCAGCAAGTATTTATTGAGTCTCTGCTGTGTGTGGTTGGTGTGCTGAGCACTAGGATATAAGGCACTTGTGTTATCTTTTCATTGCTGTGACAAAATGCCTGAGAAAATCATTGTAAAAGAGGAAAGATTTATTTTGGCTCACAGTTTCAGAGGTTTCAGTACAAGGTCATTTTGCCTCAATAGATTTGGGCTTTTAGTGAGGTAGAACATCATGGCGGGAGAACATGGAAGAGCAGAGCTGCTCCCCTCATGGTGGCCAGGAAGCAAAGAGTGGGGCAGAAAGGGTCACAGGGGAAGAGGTAACCTTCTAGGACTCTCCCTCAGTGACCTACTTTCTCCAGCCAGGTTCCACGTCCGGTAGTTTCCATCACTTTCGAGTCGTCCATTCAGTTATGAACCCATTAATGGGTTAATCCATTAGCGAGATCAGAGGACTCATGATCTAGGCTCTCCTCAAAAGTCCCAACTCTGAACATGGCTGCATGGCTGACCCAGCATTCCTCACATGAGCCTTGGGGGACATTCAGGGGCCAAGACAGGATGTACCATCATTGAGTAATTATCGTACAAGCACAGCTAGGGAGAGTCAGCCAGATTGTCAGTGATGAAGTGGTTGGGAGACGTGTGACAGCAGCCCTGAGGTTTGTTGAGTGGCTGAGCATGGAATGGGACACCCAGCTGAGGCCGGACTGAGAGGAGAATATTCCAAATTTTTTTATTTTTAGTTCTTGCTTGTCACCCCTACTTGCCACGAAAAGACCCCTCCCCTAACCATGGTCCTGCATGTCCAGATCCCACCTTAATGTGTCTCACCAGGGAGCTTCTGGTCATCAAGAGCAACATCAGGGTCAACATCAAGGGCAAGAGACCAGCAGGTGGGTCAAGGCCATTCATTCCCTCTGTGAGTGAGTAGCTTGCAACATCATGATTCTGCACACAAAGAACAACCTCGTCATCGTCATCATCATCATCATGGCCACTACTGTGTGCTTTCTTTGTGTCCTGTGCCCAGCACTGCAGCCATGACAGGATACAGTGGCAAACCAGCATGGGCTCTAGAGAAGAGGGACATGGATTCCAATCCAGTTTGGCACCAAGGACTGTCAGTGTCAATTAGGGCAATTGCTAAACCTCCTGAGCCCCAGGTTCTTCAGATTCCTTGTTGCTAGAGAATAAATAAATCTTCTCTGCACTGTCTGAATACAAAGTGACATCATTCCGATGGAACGGCATTGAGTAGAAATAACAGGACAGGGATCTAGTAAAAAAATGTTAATTGCTTCCTTTTGTTTTCCAGAATATTGTGCCCATCTACCAGGTGTTTATTGGACAGATTTGGATAGTTTGTTACCTGAAATGTCACATGCTAGAAACGTGCTGTCCAGGTAACTGTATTGAAAGGTCAGGGGCCTCTAAGAGGTGGGCTAGCAGGAGGTGACTGACTGGTCATGATTTCCTTTGTGAAGGGATTAGTGCTGGCCTCTTGGGGTGGGTTAGCTCTCACAGGATGGATGAGCTGCTGAGAGGTGGGGAGTTATTAAGATGCCCTCACAAGGCCCCCCCTGGTAAAGGTTCCACCACCTCCCAACAGTGCCACCTTGGGGACAAACCTTTACACTTATCCAACCCAGAGTGGTGCTTACATGAGATAAAACAATCATTTGAGAAGATGCAATGGATCAGTGCTTCTCCAACCTGAGTGTGCTCCAGAATCGGCTGGGAGGCTTGTGCAA